ATTGTTTTCAATCATCTGATAAACATTTGTTATAATACTACTTTTATAGATTTGAATTCCTATAATACAAACATAGGTTAATACAATAAATACAAAAGCATCAAACCTATCTTTTTTGGAAGAATCGAAACATATCTCGACTAAAACTTGAAGAACAGAATTTGCCACACACCTTTACTTAGGATTCACTGTGTAATAGGTCTGGAGAAAAGTTAAGCAAAGAAGAAAAGTGGCAGCGAGTAAGGCAATGAAAGTCCACGGATTGCGAAAATAAGTATGAATTAATTCAGCAATCCATGTTTTTGCCTTGCTACTGCAGTGCTTCTCGATTCTCATCTTCACATCATCAAAAATATAGTAATTGTCAAGTCCGGAAGTATCAATCTCTTTGATTACTTCAACAACTTGTTCATCACTGTCGAGGGTGCTAAAGAGTATCTTCTTTTCTCGCAGTTCCTTCACATCTTCAGATTTAACAATGAGCGATTTCAAGAAATTAACATAACATATTATAGGAATGCCAGTGTCACTTTCTGGAGATGCTTCATATGCAATCATGTTTATAAAGAATGGCTTGGAAATATAAGTGAAAAGCCAAACCGGGAGTTGAACTTGCCCATAAAATGTGTATGATTTGAACCTAATATCCGTCAAACAATATGAACTAGGTTTGAAGTGAATACCTTTTGCTTTGAGATCGGTGATTGAACGAAATTGACGATTGCATTTCCCAAATTCCTTTCGATTCTCTTTCTTCCACGACCGCCATTGACTTTTTTTAACAGGCTGGACGAGTATTTTTCCTGCTGTATCCCATTCTTGGGCAAGTAGTCGATGATAAGCATCTAGAAGGTGAAGTGGTTGCTTTTTATCTTCTCCAGGAATTCTTGTTAGACTGGTATTCTCCAAAATCATGGAACTTAAGAAATTACAAAGTAACATGGATCCTTCTCCGTATATTAAATTAATCAAGAGCTTAATAACCCAGAGTGGAATTTGATTCTCCAATAAATTCATATCACGATATACTAATGACACTGCAGCCATTCCAAGATGTTGACAGAAATGGAAATATTCTTCTTC